CACATCTGTACACAGTACTGAAGATATGGCGTACCATAGTTTGATACTTCCCCTCCTCCTTCTTCCCCTGGCTTCCCCCTTCCAGCTCCCTCCTCCCAGGTTTCCCCTTCCCCTCTCCCACCCTTTCTCTTCCCCTTTCCCACCTACTTTTCCCAGTCTCCCCAGAGGTTAATCCCCTCCCCCCCACAGTTTTGTTAAATAAAAAGAGTTTCTATTTTTGAACACGTGTCCTTTATTTTGTACATCAGGAAGGGGGGCTAGGGAGGGGTAAGTGGAAGGATGTGAGGGAGGAATGGGGTACGAGCCCCCGATGAGGAGGACTGGGGTGGCTCTGCGGGCTTCTCGGGGTGGAAGCTCTCCTGCAGCCCCCCGATTGATATCCCCCCCCGGATGGCAGCCTGCAGCAAGTGCAGCCAGGCTGATGGCCGAGTGCTGTGATGTGCCGAGTGTGGGCATTCAGGGCACTCCAAGCCAGGACTGCTTTGCTGTCCCTCATCGAGTTAGACAAGTGAGCGAGGAACCCCTGAGAACTGTCTGTCCAGGGTGGGGGTCGGGTCCCTTTAAGCACAGCCCTCGGCTAGCCTGAGACAGCAGCTCCACGCTCTAAGTCCTAACCTGATGCCCTGCCGGCACTGCTTCTGGCCATCCTTAACCTTGGTTCAGGGTCCACTCAATGTGGACATGCTAGTTCGAATTAGCAAAACGCTAATTCGAACTAGTTTTTAGGTCTAGATGCACTAGTTCGAATTAGCTTAGTTCGAATTAACTAATTTGAATTGTTAGTTCGAATTAATGTTGTAGTGTAGACATACCCTAAATGATTTCTGAAATCTCACAACATACAACCATTCTATACTAATGAGTATTCTAGATGCACTGCAAAGATGAGATAAAGCCAGCAGGATTTTGAGAGTTTTGTAAACCCTCTGGAACTTTGTAAAAATGATGGGTTTCTGAAGCTTTGTAGAGTTTCATGAAACAGTTTTTTTGTGCTTTGAACCATTTATTTTTCCAGGTAAAATCCATTTTAAAAAGCAATTCCTGTAGGCCTGGATGAAACAAATGGGTGACTGCCTTCATTAAGTTACAACTTCATGCATGAAACTGTAAATGCAAATAAAACTATTCAGTATTAGAATAATAAGGTCAAATCCTCCATTGGTGTAAATCAGCATAGCTTCATTGACATCAAAGATCATAATCCTATCATTTTAGTTTCTCCACAGAAATTGTGGCAATTGTATATTGAATGCCTTCGCTATCCAGTAAATCCTAATATGAAAAATAACCTAAGAAAACTCACTCCTCCAGAAGTGCTGTCAGGAGAGGAGTAGATGTCAGACCACTTTTTCCATTAGGTGATTCAGACTGTGAATTGAAAACACGATAAATAAAATGTTAGATTCCATGCAACATTAGGTTTAATGAATTGATTTTTAATGCAACTTCAGTATGATGATAAAGTTAATGATTTATTACCTGAAGTTTTTCTTTTCACATAAAATCTCCTGAAAACTGAGCTTTCAAATTAATTTTGTAAACAGTGGAATATGAATAGCTGTTTTTGCCCCTTTTGTGTGTGTCTCTCTTTGCCTTACTTCCTTCATGTATGTGTCCTGTAGTCCAGCGGTTCCCAATCGCTGGTCCACGGACCAGTGGCAGGCCGCAAACCCCTGCCTGCCACACCCACTGGGGTTCCTGATAAGGGAATTCCCTTCTGCCCACTTCATCCTGCAGCAGCAGGCTGAGTGGGGTGATGGGCAGGGCTGGAGATGGAGCCAGGGCCATCCCTGTGCCCCTGGTTCCCCCCCCTCCAGCCCACATAGCCTTGGCTGCTGGGCCATGTGGTGCTGGGGGGGGGGGAGGAGGAGGAGGCCACGGTTGCATGATGAGCAGCTGGGGCCTGTTCCAGTAGCTGGGGCCTGCTCTGCAGCCATGTGAGGGGAGGCTGGATCCTGCCCTAGTGGGGGTCTGGAGTCTGCCATGGCTGTGTGGTGGATGGATGAGGCCTGCTCAGGAAAGGGGAGGAGGTCTGGGGCCTGCCGCTTGACAGGGAAACTGGGACCTGCTGCATCTGCACGGTGTGGGAAGCCAAGGTCTGCTGGGGAGGGGGCTGGGTCCTGCTGTGGGGAGAAGGGCGATGGAAGATGTTGCACAGTGGAGGGCTGGGATCTGCTCCATCCGATGGGTGGCTGCTCTTGCCGCCGGGGATGAATAAAATAATATGGCAGGGGGAGGGAGAGGGTGCAGGAGTCAGGGTTACAGTCTATGAAGGGGCTGGGGTACATATTTTGGAAACAAGAAATGTTTTATTTGCATATTTGTTATTTGCACAATGAATAACAAATATGCAAATGTTGCCAGTCCACCACGTGTTTGCAAATGGATTTACCAGTTCCCAGTTTAAAATAGGTTGGGAACCACTGCTTTAGTCCCTTCCTTTATTTGTGCACTGACAACTGTATAGTATCAGAGGGGCAGCTGTGTTGGTCTAAATCTGCATAAACAACAAGAAGTCCTGTGGCACCTTATAGACTAACTGATTTATTGGAGCATAAGCTTTCGTGAGCAACTGTATAGTATGTTGTTTTCCCAACTCTTTCTTTTCTGTAAATTGTGCTTCTTCTGTTGGGTTTTCAATGAGAAATTTAACAATGATTTTTTTCACATACATTCATGTCTTTAAGCAATTCTTGTGGACACATGGTCATGCAATCATGGATTTTACATTTAATTCAATTTAAAGATAAAATTAAATTTAACTCCCCCCAGCTAAAAATATTGCCCCTTTGAAGACATTTCTATCTTACGTACTGCTCTTCAGCTGCTTGTTTGCAATAATTCCCATTATACTTTGGCCTTCCAGTAGAGAGCTTTGACTATGTAACTTTAACAGTTTTAGATTGGTCATCGTGGAGCTGTTAGTTTGTCTTTGAAATTAGGAGCATGTGGTACATTTTGCACAGGAGTAATAAGTTATGTAGCTGTTAGGTTCAAGTTTCATTTGATTCTTCTTTATTGTGCAAACACATAAGTACTACCAAATTACGCTGTTATAAACAAACAATGCAACACAGGAGTGAATAGGCTACTTAGCACAGACCTTAGTGGGAAATACAGATTTTTGTTGCCTGGGTTTTTCAGTTTGGATTTATACTGATGATTAGCTGCAGATTTTCCTTTTTTGGAAGACACTTGTGACAGCTGATTAGAATAATTTCACAGTAAATGATTGAAATCATCATCCCCTCGGTGTTCTATTGTTGAGGTTATGTTTACTTTTTATGCATAGTGCATTACCACTTACTAAACAGAAACTAGAACTCAGAATCTGATTATACTTTGAGCTGCCTAGAGGCCCCAATCAGATGACATGCTGTGTCACCAGATTCCTAACATAAGTAGCCAAGGAAGCGGATCCAGGGGGAGTAATTCCTTTATACTGCACAGCTTACATAGCCACTTTTGACTATTCTGGTCACAAAGGTTGGGTCACAGATTCTACTCAGGCTCATGTCACTGAGAAATCCCCTGGTTGTCTAAATGAAGTTCTAAACAACTAGGTAGGACTTGAGGGTCTGGGGCTTCTTAGAAGTATTTCCTCAGTCTTGGAGTCTCAGGTATTTTTGTGCTGGGAAAGGCTAAGAAGAGACTAACAGATATTTCCAATTTAAACCATATACTTCAATCACTCAAATTTTCAAAGTCAATTGGGTTCAGGTTTATCAGAAATGTTTGCTTAGTTTATATGGCATAGATTTAAGAAACAGGATAATTCTTTTAAATTATGGACTTATTTTTACTTACCAGGGATGGCATTGAAGGCATGGGTGACGTGGTAGGTGACTGGCCAGGAATGTGTAACGAGTTAAATTTAGGAACAACAGCCACACTGACTCTCCTCCGAGGCATATTCTATCAATAAACAACAAACACTATAGAAGAAGCACAACTGAAGGATAATTCCCTGTGGTTGGTAGGTATCGTAAAGAAGCAGATTCAAACAATCCACACAATGGAAATGTTCTAAATTGTACTAGCAGCAACAAGCACAATTATCTATTTTGGATAAGCCATACATAAAACAATATTAAGACAACGTTAAGATTGCTAACGTCAGGAAATGGTGGCATGTATAGCCTTAACTCTGTCTCCTTTGGGTGTATCCATCATGATGCAATCTATACATGTATGATCACATATTGCTTCTTAAATGATACAATATAGGGGTTTTTTTTCTACAAAATTAGATATCTAGTATTCTGTACTACTGTATATCACTCTGTGTATACCAGACAAAGACCAAGATTACCTTTTATAAGAAAAGTGCATAATAAATATATAACTAATTAAATTTAAAAACAACGAATAGCACCGAGTAGCACCTTAAAGACTAACAAAACATGTAGATGGTATCATGAGCTTTTGTGGGCACAACCCACTTCTTCAGATGACTGGAGTATTAGAAGTCCAGATCCAAGAATAAATAAGGAGAGAAAAGGAGAAGAAAAAAAAAGAGAAAAAAAAAAGAGACCGTGAGTAGATTGTTCAAGTAGTTACAAGAGACTGATAAGAACAATTAGCACCTCCATTATGTGGTTGGTCATTAGGATGAGGAAGGTAATGTGCTCGCTAGCCAACGTCTCTGTTCATTCTATTTGCATAAGAAATAAACTTGTAAATGAAGTTACGTTCCAACTCTTCCCTGTGCATTTGGCTTGTGCAATTGGCCTGAAACAACAGAGTTACTTTGAGATCCATTAATGAGTGTCAAGGTATATTAAAATGTTTTCCAGCAGGTTTCTGTGTATTGCCTTTATGGAGATCTGATTTGTGTCCATTAATTCTTTCCCATAGAGACTGTCTAGTTTGGCCAATATACATGGCAGTGGGGTACTGCTGGCATAGATCGCATTAGTGGATGTGGAAGTTAAATGAGCCCCTATGTAGTGACTGATGTGGTTGGGTCTAGTGATGAAATCGCTTGTGTAGATGTGTGGACAGAGTTGGCACCGGGATTGATTGCAGGGATGGGTTCCTGGATGATTTTGATGGAGGTGTGCTGTGTGGTTACTGGAAATAATTTGTTTGAGGTTAGGGGGTTGTCTGTAGGTGGGGAATGGCCTGTTCCTCAAGGCCTCTGAGAGTGAGGGGTCATTTTCAGGATAGGCTGTAGATTGTGGATAATGTGTTGGAGGGGTTTTTTAAGTTGTGGACTGTAGGTGAAGACAAGTGGAATTCTGTTGTTTCTCTTTGGCCCTGTTTTGAAGTAGTTCATATCTGGGTACTCTTTTGGCTCTGGGTCAATCTGTTTTTTCACTTTACCAGTTGAGTATTTCAGTTTTAAGAATGCTCTACATAAATCCTGTAGGTGTAGACAATCTCTGTCTGTGGGACTGGAGCAAATCTGGTTGTATCTTAGGGCTTGGTTGTATATAATAGATTGAGAAATGTGTCAGGGATGGAAGCTAGAGGCATGAAGGTAAGTGTAGTGGTCAGTTGTGTTAGTTTTTAAGGTGCTACTAGACTATTTGTTGTTTTTAAAGTTTTTCCTGTTATAGACTAATTCGGTTCCCCCTCTGAAGCAATTAAATTAAAAGAGTAATAGTGAATTTTTGCTGGTCAGGTAAATTGATAGATACATTATTTTAGTAGTTGCACCCCAGGAAAGCTGGTACTTCCTATTGGCTGAACAGTTCTGACACATGGCTGCTGACTAAGGTCCTGATTCAGAAAAAAAAAATATTCAGAAAAACACTGAGTGCTTGCTTAACTCTGAAGTAAATGGGCTTTAACAGTTTTCCTGAATTTGGGGTCTAAAGTATTAAAGCATACTTCAGGAAACACTTTTAATTTTCATTGTAGTCTAATTAAATAACTTTATAGTTGATGTGGAGAGCACTCCATCTGTAGGTACAGCCAATCAGCTGTAGTTTGACTTCCTCACCCAAAAGACCCTTCCTAATTCAGATTGCTTGCACCACGCCTAAAACAAAGATCTGAGTATAATTGTGAACCCAATGCTATGAGAAAATACCTTGCAAAACATTAAAACTCTACAACTGCCCAATGATTCAGGTAACTGTAGCTACATATTTTATTTTGCTCACTCTGGACCCCCCATAGAAGAGTGCACGGACCATGCCAAAGAACACTGCTGTTGGAGAAGTGGATCTCTGAGAGCCATACTAGCTCATCTGTTTTGAGGCTGTCCCAGCATACACTCCTCATTTTTTCAGGAAGAACAGCTCTTGTGCAAGAAGGGATTTTTGTGCAAAAAGGAGCCGTCTACACAGCTCTTTATTGCGCAAAAGCCTCTTGTGCAAAAGGGATGCAAAGAGGAAATGCAAATGCGAGCGTGACATATACAAATGAGTGCTCCATTTGCATTTCCTCTTGCGGAAAAGCCTTGCAGTACAGATGTAGCCTTTCTCTTCCCACTGAGTATCTGCATCGGATTGGGAACATGCTGGACCTTAACTGTTACAAATGAAGGAATATAAATATGAAATAAAGCAGGCAGAAGTTGAATAACACCTAAAAGATCAAATTTCCTATCAGCTGAATGGATTCTCAGTTGTATTTATAAATTAGGGAATTTAGGGAGTTGCCTTCTAGCTAGGTCAAAACCTAGGGTTCTGCACATATTTAAAGCTAGCTTTGCTAAAACTATTAACAAGTCAGGCTACAATATCTAGCATGGAGAATCTCTCATTTATGAATGCCGTAACAAAACAAGAAAAAGACGATTTTCTGTGCTGACTGAATCAGTGAGTATTACAGAAATGACCTGGTTGCTAAAAATGATAATTGGACTGAGACACAGATTCTGCGACCCTTCCTTCTGCAGTCATTCTTAGTCTAATGCTCAGCTTGTATAAGTGGAATAGCACAACTGAAATCACAGCTTACTGACTGCAAAGCAGGATTGCTCTCTAAAACACTGTTATTCTGAAACAGATTAATGGGGCCCTTTATAATTTTTCAATTAATTCTAAATATTACTAATATTTATTCTTGTATATAGCTATTCGCAATTTCACCAAATTCCAAAATTTTTGAATTGGCCATCACACAAACTGCACTGCAAGACTGTAGTAGGCAATACAATTCTATATGTTTAGATAGTGACTGAACTTTTGTTATGTAAAATCTTCTCTTAATAGTTTAATTTCTGTTAATATTGTAAGAATACCTTTCCAACAGTAAGAGACATAGATCTAGCTGAACGAGGCACTCCATCTTCTGTATGGAAAACAGTAGATAAAGAACAGAGTTAGACTATATGGATAAATCCCTATAAAGAAGACTGATATATGAACTGATCTCAGTTATACCAGTGGAAATTTGTAATGACTCCACTTATTTCAACCGACTTCAGTTGCCACTGGAGATCAGAATCTGGCATCTTGGCTATAAGAATCTGGCATATTCCTATGTGTTGATTTTTCAGAAGAAAGTTTTAACACTTAAAATTCCAGTAGGCTACATAAACAATAGCAGTGAAACAAAGAAGTACTAACTTCTTCTTTTAAAATTTTGCCTCCTGAAATAAATCCCTTTTCATCGCAATTTATTTCTGAGGAAGTCCAATAGAAAACAGGAACATTTAAGCATACATATAAGTAAGCAATTAAATATAAAAATATGGCCCTACGATACTTGAATAATTTACATTTATTCTAAATGATTGTTAATCTAACAATTATAATTAAAAATATAGGATAGGAACTGCACAAAAGCCTTCATAATCTACTCTAAGGAGAACATAGTGGCTACGTCTACACTGGCATGATTTTCCAGAAATGCTTTTCGGAAAAGCGCATCTAGATTGGCAGGACTTGGCAGCACTTTTTCCAGAAAAGCGTCCGTGGCCAATCTAGACGTGCTTTTCCGCAAAAAAGCCCCGATCGTCATTTTCGCGATCGGGGCTTTTTTGCGGAAAACACTACTGTGCTGTCTACACTGGCCCTTTTCCAGAACAGTTTTCCGGAAAAAGACTTTTGCTCGAATGGGAGCAACATAGTTTTTCTGGAAAAGCACTGATGATTTTACATTAGATCATCAGTTCTTTTCCAGAAATACAAGCGGCCAGTGTAGACGGCTGGCAAGTTTTTCCAGAAAAGCGGCTAATTTTCCGGAATAACTTGCCAGTGCAGACACAGCCCACGGCTTTTCAAAGCTAATGTCTGCTGAAAGTGAACTCTAAACACATGCAAGAGGATGTGCAAATGACTATTTAAAAAACAGTCAAAATTATGATCCCAGGGACAACCATAAACATCTCTCGGTAACTCCAAGTAAATACACACAAGATATTATAAAGATGTTAAATATCCAGTGTTTTGTTTTTAAAAAGTGACTGAAGTCTTTTGGAAACTATGAAAAATGTTCCATTTAGAAATAATATTGCTTCTCTCATAGACTTTCTGTATTTCTTTTCTCGTGCTTTTTATAATGAAAATCATTTACATGAGCTATCATAAGAAAAAAAGATCCTGTTTTCATACAAATGTTCTTAGTAGTAAAGAATGCTCAAATAAAATATATAGGATAGACTGCAGAAACAAAATTGTTTCCAAACAGAATGTTTTTAAAAGTTTCACACACACATCATCAGTTGTTCTTCAAGTATTTACATTTATTTTAATGTAGTTCGTGCCTATTTATTTCTTAAACTAATTCACTTCTCATATTACATCCATTGAACCATTGTTGAAGCTAGTGTTCAGGAAGTCAATGCTAGCGAGTGAGTACTCTAGAGACAGTTTAATGGTTGTTGGTATAGAATCCTCCCACCATGTTAGCATCAATTTTCTGGACAGTATAATCAACTTCAACAATTCTAAAGACAACCATGTACAAGAAACTCACAAATCACCACAACTTTATAGATCTAGTAACTACTCCAAACACACCAAGAAACCTGTAATCCACAGGTAGATACTCAGATGCCATGGCATATACTCTTAGCACAAAGTCCTGGAAGAATATACACATTTAAACACACCTTCAAAACCTCCTTCATCAAACAATGAGACTCCACCAGAGAAGTACCGTCTTTTAGTGAATATAACCCACGAGTTATATTCATTTTTACAAACCCCGCCCCCGCCCTCAGAGGGCTATACTTGTGTGCAGGGTATATAGGGTTTTTTTTACTCAATGGAAGAGGATCCCACCCCCTTCACTACCTTTGCCGGACTGGGGTTAGTTTCCTGCGCGATCCAGCCGGGCGCCCTTCCCTGCCTGCAGCCACCGCCGCACGCCGGACCCGCTGTGCACTCGCTTGTTGCTCCCGGGCCGGTGCCTGACTTGTTGTCCCGAACCATGTCCCGCAACTTCCTTCCCTTTGTCAGCCCGGGCTGGGAGTCTCCCACCTTGAGCCTCTGCTGGGGATGCCTTTGCCCTGGCTCTGGAGGGTTCCCAGCTGCGGAGCCCCTTGTAAGCTCCTGGCTGGATCCTGCAGGAGCAAGGAGCAATAAGCACCATGTCCCAGCCTTGCTCCTGAGAGCCATTGCCACCTGTAGATTCCTGCCGCTGCTGCTGGCCGCCGAGCAACTTGCTCCGGGCTCCTTCCCTTTGTCAGCTTGGGCTGGGAGCCTCCCGCCTTGCCCCTCTGCCCCGGCTCCGGAGCGTTCCCAGCTGATGCGCCCCTTGTAAATTTCCCTGCGTTGTTTGGTTGTGGGCTGGGAGCCTAACCCTCTGCACTGTAAATATACCCCCGCACCCTAAATATACCCCCAGCACAATCTTGTATATCCCGCAGGTTATACCCGTGCACGGGGTATACAAGATTTTTTTTACTGAAACAGCAAAAACCACGTGATATATTCGGGTGCGGGTTATATTTGGATACGGGGTATATTCACTAAAATACGGTAGATAGCATCCTGGAATGGGTCACCGAAATACCCTGAGAGAACCTGCTTCAATACAGAAATAAAACCTCCTGCAGCCACATACCCTCTAGCTGTTACCTACCATCCCACCTTGGAACCCACACTGTATCATCAAACCAATACAATCCATAATCAATGGGAACCCTGTTCTGAAAGAAATCTTTCCTGAATCCCCACCCCATTTCTGGCCTTCAAACAGCTCCCTCCATTTCCAAGCTCATCATCGGAAGCAAGCTTCCCCACAATAACTCAAAGTGGCACCAGACCCTGCCAGAACAACAGATGCAAAGCCTGAGGCCATAGCTACAATTAGCACTCCTCCCCAACACAACTCCAAAACACAGCCTTCAAGATCCATGGTCTTATACAAGTCTCACAACATGCAATACACTAACTGCTCTTTTAACAATTATGTGGTTGAAACAAGACAATTCCTGCACTCTTGAATGAACCCACATAGAAAAATGATAAATGCCAAACTCACCCTCTCACCTGTGGGAGAACACTTCCCAGAGTGATCAGTATGTCTGGGTATGTCTACACTACCCCGCTAGTTCGAATTAGGAGGGTAATGTAGGCATACCGCACTTGCAAATGAAGCCCGGGATTTGAATTTCCTGGGCTTCATTTGCATAAGCGGGGAGCCGCCATTTTTAAAACC